CAACATATGAAGTATTACACCGGTGTTTTATCCTCTTCATGTCACATCATCCTGTTCCTCCTCACCCCAAACCTCAAAAATAAAGTCAGGTTTCTAACATGGAAAAATACGCTTATTTATTCCCAATATTCTTGCGACCCTCCAACTCTGGACAGCTGACAAAATCCAGCTGAAAAACACCAACATCTGGTTATAAGCTAACATTATGCAGTGCCTCTGTAGCCGCTTTTGCACATTTATGATTTTTATATCTTGAAGGTAAAATTCTAACAAAACAGATTCTATCTTTGATTTATTTCATTGCTTAATGTGTTTGAGATGGACGTGTGGTCACATATGCATATATAAATTAGAAGGCAGATCATTGATAACAGCGTCACCGGTCGGTAAGTATTCTTTTTGGTCTGAAGGCAGTTTGTGAAATAATCAGTCTTGTTTATTTTTCTTCCTCAACATGATTTGTCAAAGATTATTTCATGTATCTGAGCACAACCTTTGCGCTCTTTCATCTTCTGATTTGTGTCCATATATGTAAAATCAATATGTTCTGGATTGGATTTAGATTAGAGGGGCTGGAGGGATGTTCATGTTCCTTCATGTTGTCATAGGTTACTGATTGCTTGGCCATTAACACCAGTGCGGAAAAGATGCTGGTTTGGATTTAAATACAGTTGTTGTCTTTCAAAGCTTTGCTGACACACACACACTTTCTCTAGACAAAATACATGCTTCAAATATACTTCCTATTGAAACCCATTACTGGAAAAACTGTGTTAACTGGCATGACAGAATGTGACACTGTGTGACCATTAACCCCAAAAAATAGATACTAAAGAGAGAAGCATCACTGTCTACTGGTATCATATAAATAAAACTGAATAGAGCTGTAGGTGGAAAAAAGTAGAGCAAGAGCCGACGTGTCCTTCCTCCAGGGATAAAAATAAATAAATAAAAATGACACACTTTTCCAGCAGTTCGACATTTTCAACATCTAGAGTGATTATTTCTTAGAAGCTCGGTTATCCCCTCTTTATTTTTAGGATAATGCTGATTTTTATATCAGCTTTTCTTTTTAAAACACCATTAACTTTTAAATTTTAGAGATGAGCTAAATCACAAAATGAAAAATCTGGTGAGTACAGACGAGAATGAGACGCTATCAGGTAGCACTGTCTGCTCCACTGGCAGTAAAAGCTCAGACTGAGCACAAACTCAGATGTAGTACTCTATTTTCTAAACTGTCTCCTTGAAAGATCCATTATCACCACTACCCTAAGAACATATAACCTGTAACCACACCTATTCACACTCTTACAGGGAGGGGGAGCGTAATAGCCGACCTCTTGAGGTATCAATCTCCTGGCTGGGGACAGCGCTGCTGGGCTTTCTGTCATTTTTTTAAATAATGGCTGGATTTCTTTCTGAATTTGAACCTGGACAAGTTTTTTTTTTCTGCCACAAGTTTCACTTTAGACTTTATTTACATGATGGACGTCGACATAATGATGCCAGCCCATTGGTTGGTGGACTTTACTCTGTAGCACTTGATGAACTTTTTGAGTCCAGACGGTGTAATATTTAGATGAGAGGGTGGAGTGCTAGCTATCAGCTAACACCAGTGAGCTTGGTTAGCTTCTATGTATGTAACGCTCAGACATGCACAGCTAATTAGAGAGACACTACAAGAAATGAACCAACCACAACTGACACACAAACTTCCTAGATGGTCTGCATCTCACTGTATTTTATATTGTTTGTCGAATGATTTGATGCAGAGTTGGACCAAAGCTGGTTTACTAACTCGCTTTGCTGTGTATCGTGGCTCACTTCTCCTTCAGTAACTACTTCACTGCACCCACATTCCCCCTTTTTGTGGATGACTAAGTAAGGTGACCGCAGCTAGCAGCGTTTTTCTTGCTGTTGCGGCAACTTCTCTGACATACTTTCCACTTCAATCCCGCTAAGTCACACTGAGTCACTCACACAGGTGCAGTGAAGCTGTGGTTACTGGGTCGAGCGAAGCACTGGTGAAGGAATTATTTTGAATTTAATTGGCATTCTGTTGTCGTCTCTGGCTCCCGCTCCTCTCCTCGGCTCTGTTTCCTGAGCAAATGCTAGCTCCTCTGTGGCCTCCACTGTTACTCACTGGTGTTTGTTGCTGGTCTAATGAAGTCAGTGCTGTTTGGTGCTCTTATCATCATGATATTTGATTTAAACGGTGTGCTGCATGTTAGAAAGTTAACCGTGGTTTCTGACTGAGACTATGAATGCTTTTGGCCATGAACAATGAAAATGTGATAAGATAACCTTTTCACAACAAGGTCCGGTGCACTGACCATCAAAAAACTGGACTGACTCATTTAAAAACTGGAATCTATCCACACACCCCAGAACTGTTTATCTGTATGTGATTTTCAATACTGCAACGTTGGGCATTTTAACATGCATGTCTGACTTGTATTTTGTGCCATTGCCAAACGGCCATTAGAGGAACTGCAGTTTTTGGCACTTCCACACACAGCAGCACATATGATTACGTGGCATGTCGAGTCATGACTACCTGAACAATGAAAGAACTTTTCTATCAGCACCAAGTGACATGCTTGAGACTGAGAGTCTTTTTTCAAGAAAACACAGCATGTTTTGGGGTTTTTTTTTCAGGGCTTTTCAGTGATGGACAGATATTGAGATTGTGGCCTCCATGATTTTCTTCCAGGTGAAATGATCTGTTTTCATGGTCTGATCTAGAAAAATGCATTTAGCTCAAAATATTATTCAACTAGTTCAAAAATACTCACCTGAATAAATGACAGGTGGACAAAAACGTTTTCAAAGTATAAATTATAACCACACAATCTCACTACCTCACACTGACACTTTAATTTAATAAAATCATGCACATTCATACCTCGGGGGGGAATTTAAAAGCATCACGCCACCAACTGCATGACGTCGGATTGTGGGAGGAAGTCAGGCAGCGAGAACGCGCTAAGTCCACACAGAAAGGCCTCGGCCAGACGCTGGATTTAAACCAGGAACCTTCTTGCTTCAGAAGTGCTAAACATCGTGCTGCCATGCAGCTCTTGGTGTGGAGGTTATAATTTATAATGTATGCTTTAAAAAAAGAAAAGCATTATTAAAAGCTTTAAGCTGTCTTATCGTGGTATTCTTTTACCTGTTGTCACTATTCCAACTGATGATGATGTTTCTGACCACAATCATCAGTCTCTGCAACATCTGTGCACCTGTCAGGTTTTCAGAATGCTGACGTGGTACATCGTATTTGGACAAAGTTTCACCAGTGGCACTTTAAACTGCTTCATCCTAATTTAAGTATGGCTTTCTGACCTTATTTAAATGCCCATCAGACACTCAGGATTCATGTTATTCATGTTTAAACATTTCGCCTGCTTCTAGACTCCTTTAAATAAGAGAAGGAGAGAGAGAGAGAGAGAGAGAGAACAAAGGAGCAGTTTGTGAGAGCGAGTGAGCATGAAGGCAGAGATGATACTTCAGTTTAGATACTGCTGCATTATTGAATGTAATTTTGTGTTTAAGAACAAATCTTTTAACACTGAATGTTGAATCACGGTTCTTCTCCTGCTCTCTTTCACCCTTTTCTGTAACTACTGAATCTATCTAATAAAGATAGAAAGGCGATAGAAATTGTCTTTAAAAATGCATCGAATCAGCCTGAGAAGCTTCAGTGACTCAGTCATTATGAAAAGTTATCAGGAGTTATGGTTTCTACTTAACAACACTAAATGGTACTTTAATTATTAGATTCTTAATGCTGCTCGAGCAGTTTGTGCAGTCGTGTATTGAGACATTCATTCATGTTTAGCGAGGATGTGTAGAACCGCTGCTTTGGTTGCCATTGTCTTGGCCTCCGTTGCAAATATAAGGAACCGTGGATTTGCTTTTAACCAGGATATTTGCTCCGATGCACACATAGAACAAGAAGTCTCTGTTAGTCAGGCATCTGAAATTGAAATGAACTGTGCAATCATCACCGGCACTGACTGGTCATGTTCACAGAATAAAAGCAGGAAGGGCAGTGGAATAGCAATGAGCGGTTATTTCCCAGCCAATTAAACAAATGACTGTTTTCATGATTAATGGACTCATTGTTTAATCTTTAAAATGACACAATTATGAGAGAAGGCTCTTTCATCTAAACATGTCTAATCATCACATTTAAGAAGCTGGAACCAGCAAAAACGATCAAACTCAAACATAGTTGTTATGAGGGGGTAGCTATGGAAACAGGCAAGTTTTAAGCATGTTTCTTGTGACATCACTCACTTTTCAGGTAAGAGTTTTTTACTTTAAAGTCAAGCATGTAAATACACCAAAGTACAAATCGTTACAGTAGTTATACAATAAATAATTGGGAAGCGTATCTGTAACCGGAAGGTCGCCGGTTCGATCCCCGGGCTCTCTGTCCTGGTCAAGACACTTCACCTACCGACTACTGGTGTTGGCCAGAGGGGCCGATGGCGCGATATGGCAGCCTGGCTTCTGTCAGTCTGCCCCAGAGCAGCTGTGGCTACAACCGTAGCTGCCTCCACCAGTGTGTGAATGTGAGAGTGAATGAATAGTGGCATTGTAAAGCGCTTTGGGTGCCTTGAAAAGCGCTATATAAATGCAATCCATTATTATTATTATTATTATTTATGAGGTTGAAGTTTTTCCCATCAATGCTTTTTGGGATGTAACTGCCTGTGAAAAGTATTAAAAGAAGTATTAAGCTACATATTTATGAGCTGTTGTTAAAGAGTTACATCTAACATATAAAGAACATCGTATCATCATCCTTAAAGTGCTCTGGATGACAGTACAACCCAGTGCGGCCCTCACCCAGTTGCCAAGGGTAATTATTTGAAGCTGTGAGTAAAGGAGGTCTTTAAAGGTTATTGTCTCATTAATGGGATGTTGGGAGTATCCGAGCAGTAGAAGCATTTTCCCTCCCTTTATTTCTTTTCTTTCTCTCTGTTCAGGTGCTGGGCCTCCGGCCGATCGGACAGTGGTGATTGACGAATACAGGTACCTGTCTCAAAAGCTGTTTGCAGCCGTGTCCGTCTTCGCCGGCCTCGGCATCCTGCTCGGCATCGTCTGTCTAACCTTCAACATCTATAACGGGAATGTCCGGTGAGTCCTCGAACACTCGACATCTACATAGCCTGAAATATTCTCCCCTCGTAGTCTTCGCTTATTATTTTGCATTCACTGTCGTTCTGTTTATCTTGCCTTGAGTTTTTCTTGGAGAGGTCATTGTATAAGCTGCTTCTCCTGCACAAGCCTTTTACTTGTTTACTTTGGATTCAAGTGTGTGTCAGTGAAAGTGTGTTTGAATATAAATGAGTGCCTTTGTGAGCACACCAGACATTTTTAAATAATTGTATGTTTTACTCTAAAACTCAACAGAAAAATTATGCTCCAACAATTTTGAGACTTAATTAGATTTTTAAATAAATCCAAAATGTTATAGTGTCAGCTTTTCAAGTGTAGTAATTATTTTGTTTTCATGCTTTACTTAATTAATTGTTTTTAGGTTTTAAAGACTGTTAATGCCACAAAGTTTGGATCTTGAAATTAGCTGTGGTTAAGTCACGCAAGGAAAATCTTCCTTTTAAGATGGAGTTACAGATGAAATGGTCAAACAGCCAAAACTAATGAGGACCGACAGAGTCATGTCTCAAAGATTCAAGAGACAGCTTTGTTACACAAAAGTCATCTGTTTGGATAAAAATCTGTGAAGTCAGAGGAAATCAGATCTTGTAACAACCTCCTGCTGCTCACAGAGACCTCATCACTCACTGTGTTTGCACTCCAAGCGTGACTTTGAGTTTTTCTTGGATTTAAAACAGAGCTCAAAATAATTCTCAGAGATCTTCTTCTCCTTTGAGGTTAATGTAAATGAATGGCATGCTGTGTCTCCAGTTTGGGCATGGCTTTTTTTGCTATCTTGCTGCTGGTTTCATTGTCACAGCTTAAACGTAGCTCTAGAGCAAATGCAAATAAATTCAGTTAAAAAAAAACTGCCTTTTGAACTAGGATTTATGAGCTTAATACATGTCTGTGAAGCCAGTGGAGGATATCTCTGAGGTCTCTTTAACATAGTATTTTTATGTTTGACCTGGGTCAAAGTGATTTACACTCCCACAAGTCCACAAGCTTATCAGGAGATTTACTTATTTATTTTTTTCTTTGGAAAGCTGGAGAGGTTTGTTCTTCTGAGGATCTCTGGCTGACTCCAGTGTGCCAATCAGGCCCTCCTCCACCTTTGATTATATTTCAAACACAATTTCACCACGGGCTGCTTTCAGCAGCCAAAACAGTGCGAATCAGATCAAATCAAATATATTCAGTAAGATGTTTTCACAAAACAGGTTTCCACCAGCTGCCTTGTTAGGAGACAAAACTCCAAAATCAATCCACCTTAAAACAACGAAAAAGTCAAAAGCAATCACAGACGAGAAATCCAACGAACTGAATCCGACACGTCTGACCTTTCGATGTCTCAGCTGCAGCTACAATAAAGTTCAGCAAACGTTTGACCTTCCAGGTGATCTCACACCTGTAGTTCAGTTAATTTGGTTCGCCTCAAACGGAGAAACAGATGTTTGCTCTTCAGCTGCGTTTATAGAGCAGGAAAAAGTGACTCAGATCTGGGTTTTTTCACTGAGCTGAATTTTAGAGCGTACAAAAACCACAAACAACAAACATGAGCTGCAATAATGCCATATAAACACCTGGGGAGTGAAGTGCTCAGCGCATCATGGGAAGTCCCCCAAAAGCACATTCATCTAGCGGCATGACTAAAGGATGGTTCAAGGTCGCCTGATCCCCCAACTATAAGCTTTTTTTAAAAAAAGGACATTTTGAAGCCTGCTCTTAAAAGCAGAGGGTGTCTGTGTCCTGAACCTGAACTGGGAGTCGGTTGCACAGGAGAGGGACCTGGAAGCTGAAGGCTCTGCCTCCCATTTTAATTTGAGAAACTCTAAGAACACAAGTAGACCTGCAGTCTGAGAGCAAAGTGCTCTATTAGGATAAAATGGTACTATGGAGTTATGATGTTGGCTAATCATTCAGCACTTTGAGCACAAGGAGAAGGAATTCAATTTAACAGTGAGCCAATAAAGAGAAGCTAATAAACGAGACGTATAATCTCTCTTTCAGTTCAGCTTCTAGGACCACTGGATAATAAGGAATTACACTAGTCCAGCCTTCCCAAATGCAGAGTGGTGTGAACAGCACAGATCACATGGACTCATTCCATTCAGACCATTTAGATGTGCATCTTTAATCTGAGCAGTCAAAATGGACTTTATGTGATCAGCCATGAGAATCCCGTGGAGGCACTTACATGTATAGTTAACATCTTCATCCCTGAAACACCCTGTACTGGCTTCAAGCAATATTTGTTACGAGAAAAAAAAAACAGAACCATTTTTCAAAGGTCAAAGAGGCCATCTTATGAACATGGATGTAGTATTTGCCATGCTTTATTTCTGTTGCTTCAAATAAAGCTGCAAAGCATTCAGAGTTTGGGCGAAATTATAGTTTAAGATAGTTTAAAGCAGCGGTCTCCAACCTTTTTTTGCCCCACTGACCGGTTTATGCCCGACAATATTTTCACGGACCGGCCTTTAAGGTGTCGCGGATAAATACAACAAAATAAAACCAGTACCGGTACCAAAAAAAAGAAAATTTATTCATAACACACGTGAAAAGACCCGGAAAACCGAGTTAACGATAAAAATGATAACAAAATAACGCTGAAAACCGATAAAAACCCTGAAAACCAGACATTTCACACCTGAGCCTCAACTCTCGCGGCCCGGTACCAAACGACTCACGGACCGGTACCGGTCCGAGACCCAGGGGTTGGGGACCACTGGTTTAAAGGACATAGGTCTTAAAGCTGAAGCGCCTGCTTTTTTTTCATATATTCCACCCTGGCTGAAAAAAGCTTCCAGTAGAATCGATGTCTGAGAGAGAACAGCCCTCAGCTCATTGACTCTTTGACCTCAGTAAACACTTGGCTGATGACTTTATGCGCTCAATCGCAACTTTCAGGATATAAAAACATCAACATGGAGTACATTTTATAACGCTTTGGTAATTATTAGAGTCAGGAAGGAGAATTAGCCAATGAGCTTCCTGCATCCTTGGTCTCACAGTCAGATCCATCTCTTGTCATGTTTGGTTTTGAAATACAGTCAGATTAAAGTTTATTCTCAGACTCAGTGTCACAGTGGCTGCACACATTTTTATATATAGTGTATGTTCCAATAACTTACTGTTGTGAGGTTGGCATGTACTTGGTAGTTTACAGTTTTCACCTGAAGTAAAGTCATTATTGTGTTTTCTGGAACCTTTCAAACATCGTCCAACGAACTGATTCTGCTTTCAGGAAAGAGACTGAAAAGCTACTGATTTTGAGTGTTTTCTTGCTCTGAGCACCACAAGGCAAATACAATTTATTTCCATTACATTCATCGGAAGGCAGACATCTCTACACGATCTCCAATACTGGGAAACACAGCACTACAGGCAACAGGAAAAATACTTATATTTGATTAGTGGTTAACATTTCTTGTAAGGGATTTGCATCCTGAAACCCTGGATATTTGTTTCATTAGTTCTGGCCCAGTTCTGGTTGGCACAGGCTTTTTTTAAGCAAACGACAAAGTCATACTGACTCATTAAATGGGTAATTTTGCATTAGCGCATGATACAGAAACCAAATTGTGGTGACTGACAGCAGGCTGTGCAGCACTCTAATGCTTCTGATCTATATATTTATGCTCCCTGGTGTCACATACATCACATACTGTTATCGTGTGAGAGCAGTCATGCAGAGATAAAAATCGAGCACAGAAGGGGAAAAAAATGACAGTTTTTCTTCCAACACTGGCCTCAATCAATCATAATTCAAAGCAGCAGTTCAACGCTGTGCATAATAAAAGGAGAAAGCAACACTTCATGTCAGAGAATAACCCCCGCAGCACCTCATACGTCAATGGTATATAACAGACTGAAAGGTTACTTCAGATGTTCTAGCATTCGTTAGCGAGTCAGAGAGTGTACATGTGAATGTATGTTTGTATGCACTCTACATGAGTGTGGAGCTGTGCTGTAAATAAGCAGTGCGGCCCCCCGGGGATGTGCAAGGGCAGGTCAATGGGATAAAAGAGTCAAACGTGCACACTCTGCTGCAGGAGATCGGCAGCCTGAGCAGAATATATTAAAAACTCTTAAATTGAAACTAAATCTCTTCTTGGGAACATTATAATGCTGAGAAGGTCCCTGGAGGAATTTAAATAAACACATTGTCTTGAACAGAGAGAAATCACTGTGCCTGTTTTTTCTTCTTGATTGTCCATTTAGCTCCTGTCTCTTCTCCCACACTCACTATCGTTTTTAAATATGACTGCTGCAGCAGCAGTGCAGAGGCAAAACTTTCATCTGATTTTTCAAAGCAGGGTGTAGACCACGGAGAGCTTAAAGACACTGTGCAGCTTCCAGAAAACTATTGTTATTAGTCGTATTCAGCAGTGTTGCCTGCATTTGGATGCAGCTTATGCTCACAGGCAGTGTGTGTGCTAGCACCGATTACACTATCCTACTGTTAGGCTCCACTGTTTTATATTGACTACTGGATGCCATGTATGTTGTATAACTGGGAAACCAACAAATGCAGAAATGGTAAAAAGAAAGTACTCCAGGTTTTTCATACCAGGCCATAATAAAAGTCATGTGGTCCTTAGCAGGTCTTAAAATGAGGTAAATCCAGCCTCAGATGCACTACAAAGTACACATGTACTGCTTCCATAGGAATTCTGATAATCAAATTACATGTATAGAAACCCCAGTGAAGAACGAGTCAGTCCACAGGCTTATGGAGGCGACCAAGAGAACCTTTTTAATTCAGTTAAATTATTTTGTAGCACCAAAGCACAACAGCAGTTGGCTGAAACCTCCTAGGACCTGGCGTCTACACATGCAGACATCACAATACTAAATTTTGCTCTACAAGGGCCTGATATACACTTACGAGGACATTATGCTGCCACTGTTCTATCAAAATTTAAAACGAATGTGCTCATATGTGGATGTCGGGCCCTTGGAGCGCAAAATTTGGTAAAAAGATCATTCTTTGTTTTTACATTCATCAGGTCCCAATCAGCCGAAATAGCAAAGAGAAATAAAATATGCATGTCATGAAAGAGTTCGGGTCTTAGGAGGTTAGTGCACTTTATATTGTAAGGTACAAGACCCTACAGTAATACAAAGAAAACCCCATCAATCAAACAACCTCTTTTGAGCAAGCACTTGGCAAAAGTGGGAAGGAAAAACTCCCTTTTAACAGGAAGAAACATCCAGCGGAACCAGGCTCAGAGATGGGCGGCCGTCTGCCGTGACCGGTAGGGGGCGAGGGGAGGAAGACGGGACAAAAGCCATGCTGTGGAGGGAAGATCTGAGTTTTTAAGCTGAACAGTCTGTTCACACACTGGCAATAAAAAGTGTTTAATTCATGAAAGAGAGGTAAATAGTGCACCTCCACAGGGAATGTTTGCTACTGTGGCAAATGTTAAACTCTGTTTAGAAGGTTATTGAATTAAATCCCCTCAACTAAATCAGACAGTACTCAACTGTTAGATTTTTACAGGTATCTGTGATGCCTAGGAAGTGAGTCATTCTCTCTTTGGCAATCTTTCCTGTGAAGATACAGCAAGAAAAAAACCCTGACCTTTTGTGTTTGTGTGTTTGTGATAAAAACCTCTACAAAGCAGACTAATGATTTTTCCTGTATTTTATCCATCTAATGCCGTGCACACAACAAATAACCTTTTTTTCTTTGTGGCTGTATGGTGAAAAAATGCCTCACCTAAAATTGTCCTCTTGCACTGCTCACAGAAGATAGGACGTCGCCTTCTGTCTGCACTAATTAGACTAATGAGTGCCAATCACACATCAAAGGAGATGCCCGGGGAGGAAGAGTGTTTCTATATTTGGACCTTCTCAGTGTGATGAACACGCCAGGAGACCGTCCAAACAAGCAAATCAGGATGATAACATTTTAATTTAAAAAAACCTACAAAAAAAGATGAGCTTTCTTGGAGCTCGCAACAAAACAATTACCGCCTGCTTACAAATTCATTGAATCTACCTTTAAGCTGAAACATGTTTTTTCTTATTGTGTTTTTTTCTCTTTATTTGTGTTCCTGTGTGAATCTGTTACAATTTCAGGTACATCCAGAACTCACAGCCCTACCTGAACAACATGACAGCGGTGGGCTGCATGATGGCGCTCGCTGCTGTGTTCCCGCTGGGGATTGATGGTCACCACGTCCAGAAGTCTCAGTTCCCCGTCGTCTGCCAGGTAACAGAGAAAACGACACAGGGAGGGAAGGGCAAGTAGGAGCCAGAAGTGAAGAGGAGTAATCGTGTAATTGTAGCTACAAATATATTTTTCTAGTGATGTGATACCAGTAGCTGAGAACTTGATAAGCATCAACAAGACACATTATTGGACTGAAAAATGAGGCCAAAAACTTTCTCGAGTGGCTCCAAAAGTAAAACAATCCTCATGGACTTTAAATGCCCAACTTTATATCAGAAGTGCACAAAAGTAGCTCAGGACTCTATAGTTAATTTACAGCTTCATAACTGTATGTGTGAGGGGTGCAGGGGATATATATTTTTAATGTTCCTTTTATTAAGGCTTAAAGTTCACGTGTGCTTTGACAGACGGCTCGATGTTTCCTCTAGAAGCTGTTACACTTCTCCTCAGCTCACTGGAGTTGCAGAATTGAAGTGTTTGAGGGTGTTTTGCATTGTTGCTTCTTTTTAGAGCAGACCAGTAATTTGGGTTGCCGTGCGTGTAATTTTTAATAACAGAGCTTCCAAGAATGTGCTCTATTTTTGGTGAGTGAAATTCTGTTTTAATGTGTGATACTTTTCCAGGTGATGTACTCAGGGAGGAGTGAAAAGTGAAACCAACATGAAGTGGTTTTTTCTTCAGGCCCTGTGTGTTCTCGTTAAAAAGGGGGGAAAAAATCACTCATCTTCCTCACAAAATGAACTGAGTCTCACCTCCTTCAGTCAGAGACATCGATAGAGGAACAGGTGATAAACGTATGGACAGAATAAAAAACAATCAATAAAAACAAAATGCAGCTGGGATGCTATAGTTAATCCAACACATCACCCTGCTAGCATAAAAATTACTTGGTTGGTTTAAGAATATTTTAATTCTGATTGTTGATAACAATGTAAAACTAGTTAGTAGGTTAATAGTGTCAGGACACGGCCACTTTATTTGGCACACCTGTTTAACTGTTCATTAAGACAAATATCTAATAAGCCAATCATGTGGCAGCAGTGCATAGCCAAGGTGACCTGCAGAAGTTCAGACTGAGCATCAGAAAGGTTGTTGGTGCCAGATGGACTGGTCTGTGTTTCACAAACTGCTGATCTACGGGGATTTTCCTACATAACGTCTGTAAGGTTTACAAAATGTTCTGAAAAAGAGAAAACTCAGTGAGCAACAGTTCTCTGGGTGAAAATGCCTTGATGATGCCAGAGGTCAGAGGAGAATGGCCAGACTCCTTGGAGCTGATAGGAAGGCAACGTAGACTCGAATCGCTACAATCAAGTTACGTGGAAAAGCATCTCTGGATGCACAACACATCGAATTGAACAGAATCCCAGTAGAACAGGGCACAGTCCATTTTTCAGTCTCACGGCTTGTGCAAAGAACCCTTCCAGCATCCTGGTGGTTCTGCAGCTGATGCTCCTGTACCTCTTGCCAGACGGCAGGAGGGAGAACAGGCCATGGGAGGGGTGGTGGGGGTCTCTGATGATGGAGATAGCTCTGCGTATGCAGCGCTGTTTGTAGATCTCCTCCAGTGATGAGAGAGGGGCACCAACAATCCTCCTGGCAGTCTTAACTATCCTATTAAGTTAACGCTTCTCGCAGGACTTGCAGCTGCCAAACCAAGCTGTAAAACCTTGTGTCAGGATGTTTTCAGTGGTGCCTCTGTAGAAAGTTGTGAAGTGAAGTGTGGAGAGTCCTGCTTTTCTGAGGGAGTACGAAAGGGAGGATGACAGAAGAGCTCTGAAATTTAATGCATGCACAGCAGCGGCTGAGAACAAGGCGGCAAGAAGATGATTGGACTAGAGCAATGATGTCAGCACAGAGTTTGACAGCGTGGGAAAGCGGAAGTGATTTAAATAATAGACTAGCAGCAGATGAGTGATTACAGATCTGCATTAATCTTGCGCACAAGCTTCATAGTGGAAAAACGTCGCTTGCTCTGAGAAGGTAGTTTCAGAATTTGGTAAAAACAACATGAAAGCATGGATCCATTCGGTGTTGTATCAACAGTTCAGGCTGTCGGTGGTGTAAAGGTGTGCTAATATTTTCTTACTGGGGAAGTGGTCACCAGATCGATCCAGTCAGTGCAATAGAGCACCTTTGTGCTGTGGTGGAACAGGAGATTCACATCATGGATGTGCAGCCAACAAATCTGCTTTAACTGAGTGATGCTGTCGTGTCAGTATGGTCCAAAACCTCAGAGGAACGTTTCAGGCTCGCTTGTTGAATCAATGCCATGAAGAATTGAAACCAACCTGTTACCAGCAAGGTGTAACTAATTAAATGGCCTGCAGGTATTTTCTCTGTCTTTGAGGATCAAGGGGAAAAAAAAAGAAACACTTTTTGTCCAGAAGACGGTTTTTGTTATACAGTGCAAGTGGACTAATAACGTGCTCTTTGGGTGTGCATGTGTTATTTTTGTTGAATTACCTTTCACAGGTTATAAATAGGGTGTCACATGGTTTAAATAGCTTTCCCCCCTCTTGTTTCAGCATTTAATTAAAGCTGTCATGTTGCTGCGTGCACACAGGGAAGTGAATTACACAGATATAGTTTTAGTGGCTCAGGGGGTTGGGAAGCGTATCTGTAACCGGAAGGTCGCCGGTTCGATCCCCGGGCTCTCTGTCCTGGTCGTTGTGTCCTTGGGCAAGACACTTTACCCTACTTGCCTACTGGTGTTGGCCAGAGGGGCCGATGGCGCGATATGGCAACCTCGCTTCTGTCAGTCTGCCCCAGGGCAGCTGTGGCTACAACCGTAGCTGCCTCCACCAGTGTGTGAAAGTGACAGAAAAGTGGAATTGTAAAGTGCTTTGGGTGCCTTGAAAAGTGCTATATAAATCCAATCCATTATTAGTCCCAGATCCTCCAGGATCCTCTTTGGAAAGTTTTACATAGTTTCTGGAAACATGAATTGGAAGTGACTGGTCCAGCTGCATGAGCTCTCAAATCAGGATTGTTTATATGCATCTGTTTAACACATTTGCTTATGTTTTTGCACTTTTCAGATACAGCTGTCAGGTTTAGTAAAGCTCTACCCTTCTGTGAAATTGTGTCTACTTTAAGCAAGCCCACGTTTAGGTGTCATGACGCACGGACAGCTGTGATATTCGTCGCCTGTGGCACGCGCACACCAGCAAACCAGACAGCAGTCAGCTCAGGGTTTTGATCGTGCTTATTTAGCGCATGAAAGACGACCAAAGTTTAAACACTGTCAAAATTCATTAAGCGTTTGAAATGATTTTGGCATTCGTTGTTGCGGCCACGACTTTCTGGGTGTCGGGATGGCACAGACGATGGGATCCCAGCGCTAATGAGGAGTGGGAGTATGTCTCTGTCACCCATGTCGAGCCTTTGTGTAGCAGGCGGAGATTTCCATTTCTGTCGCTTCTCTGCTCTTTGTCCCTGTCCAGTTATTCCCTCTCATGCTTTGTTCTGCCTCTCTCTTGCACTCTGCCTCTGACCTTCTTCTCCTTTTTTCTGTTCCTGCAATCTCGCCATCTCTTGGGATTCATATTATCTCTCCCCTACTATTGCCCGCTCTCTGCATCTCACCTTGTCATCTATCTTTTTTGCACCCCATACTTTACTCTCCCACTCTCCCCTTATATATCTATCAGTGTGTCTGTCTACCCCCATTCTCTCATTCTCCTTTTTTCTTTTGTTCATCTCACCCTCTCTGCTACTCTCCTCTTGCTAACTCGTCCCTCTCCTCCTATTGTGGATGTGTTGGATTTTAAAGAATGAAAACACAGAGCCATATACAGCTTTAATGGGATTTTCTTTCCATTAAGATAAAGATTTTGTTTGTTTCGTTGTTATTTAATAATGGCCGTGTTGGAATTCTTAACAAACATCACTTAACTCAAACGTCCCCATGCAGCACAAAGGCACCGATCTCCATATATGAAAGATGCAAATACAGAAAATTTGTCATTATTTTATTTAGGGCTTTAATTCAATCCAGTTTTATTTATATAAGCAAAAGATCTCAACAGTAGTCGCCTCGAGGTGCTTTATATTGTAAAATAAATACCCTACAATCAAGCTAGCACTTGGTGACAGTGGGAAGAAAAAACCTCCCTTTAACAGGAAGAAAACTGATCGACTGCAACAGCAATCTGGTTTATATGTTTGTGTACTTGAACACAAAGTTGCAACTATTTCACATTTTTCCAACAGACTGGGATTCTTCTGTGGTTCTAGTTGGTAAGTTTAATACTGGCCATAGTGTTTAAGCTGCTCTGTGCTATGCTCGAGATAGGGCTGCTCGATTATGGCAAAAATGATAATCAGGATTATTTTCACTGAAATTGAGATCTCGATTATTTGACGATATTTATTTAACAATAACAATGTGTTGAATAATGACTTTAAAAAATAATATAAAATAGTGCAAATACTGATAACAGTGCAAATGTTTGCAATATAAAAAATAAATGAAAAATGTAAACATCTATGTTTAGTGAACTTTGCAGTGTTGCTCTGTGGTGCAGCTACGACACCGTAGCAAAGTTTACACACTGTGTCTACTTGATCCACGTCTGACTGAACCCATAATGTTTCCACACCACTGAAGTTTTTTTACCTCTCTTTTCAACCAACAGCAGTCACTCTCCTCTCCAAATTACTTCTGCTCAGCTTTACGAGCTTCCCTCAGGTCCTCTTAATCAGCGGTCCCCAACCCCCGGGCCTCGGACCGGTACCGGTCCGTCAGTCTTTGGTACCGGGCCGCGAGAGTTGAGGCTCAGGTGTGAAATGTATGCTTTTCAGGGTTTTTATCGGTTTTCAGCGTTATTTTGTTATCGTTTTTATCGTTTACTCGGTTTTCCTGGGTCTTTTCACGTGTGTTATGAATAAATCTTCTTTTTTTCGGTACCGGTACTAGTTTTATTTTGTTGTATTTATCCGCGACACCTTAAAGACCGGTCCTTGAAAATAGTGTCGGGCATAAACCGGTCCGTGGCGCAAAAAAGGTTGGGGACCGCTGGTGTAGGGGGCTTTCCTCTCAACACTGCTGGAGATTCATTCACAATTAAAGGCAGTGTGGCTACCGCAGCACCCTGCAGAGGCACACTGACCTCTCTGGTTTGAGCTGGATGGAAGCATCATTACTCTGAAAGCAGAACAATGACCAAAAACAGCAACTGTAGGCTCAGTGACGGCTGTTTGAGCTGTTTTCAAACATTATGGATGCATCTGGATCTGACATTAGCCATATTAGTCCTTAAGCTTTCCCGAGTACAAAATCTGCGTGATACTCGGGTGCGTCAGCGTCAATAACTAAAATAGACAAATATAAATAAAATAACGCTCTAAAAGTAAGTGGGACTATTTCCTTTAAGTACTATGTGAAAAAGGACTAGTTTGATTATAATTCTGAGGTGATTATCTCAAGCGGCATCAGATCCTGTGACCTCCACCATTACCGACCTAAACCCAGCTGAGATGGGATGAACTGAAGCGCAGAGTGAAGGAAGAGCAGTCAATAAGTGGTCTATGTATGAAAACTTCTGTTTGGAAACGTTCATTAAGCTAGTTAAGAGAGTGAAGAGTGCAAAGATTACACTAAAAATTGGCTGCTTCAAAGAATCTCTTTGAAGTTTTTTCTTTTTAACTTGTCATATAATTCAAATGTGCTGCTCAATAGCTTTTTTCTTAAAGTGTATAAAATCTAAAAGTAATGAAAAACCTGTGAATGAGTAAACATGTCCAAACTTTGCCGTATCCTTGAATAAAGGTATTTTAAAATGAAAATCCTCTCCTCGAGCCTAATCCTCTCATTCCTCCTTCTCTACTCCACTTTTGCTCCTCTCTGCTCTCCTGCAGTTCCGCCTGTGGCTCCTCGGCCTCGGCTTTAGCCTGGCGTACGGCAGCATGTTCACCAAGATCTGGTGGGTCCACACCCTCTTCACCAAGAAGGATGAGAAGAAGGAGAAGAAGAAGGTGAGCAGGATGGAGGCGGAGAGGAATCGAGGGCGGTTGGGATTAGCCTCTCGGGCATCTCCGGAGAGCAGAGAAAGGATGGGATGGCGGGCACAGGCCACGCGGCGTGTGTGGCACCGGCTGATAAAAAAGTTCTTTAAAAAAAACTGTGCAGCCTTCGTAGTAACATAAGCTTCTGAGGGGCGAACGTTGCATCATCCACTAGCAGAGAGCACGGATAAGGGTTGGACACACACTGATACAGATACTGTACACGTAAAGCACACATGGAGACGAAAGAGTCTGAGCTCCCGATTCCCTCGTCATCATATTTGTTTGCATGCTGGAGCAGAGTTTGTATCTAGTTCTGTGTTTGTGTTAGTTTTTACCCTCTTTAAAGATAGTGTATCCTGCAGCCAGTAAGATATTGCCAGTCTGTGATGTGTTGTGGGAATTTCTAAGACCTAATCAGAAGAATAAGAGATTAAGCCATTTATGGAATATTTATGAATATGGATGAGTATTAAAGTTCAATGCAGAAATCCAGCCTTCGGGGCTTTATTATTTGAGCCAAAGCAGAACGAATCAGGTTGACTTTCAGTTCTCTTCCTGTCCACAGAAGGGCAATTTGCCAGAGAGCTCAGTGAGAGTATTTAAAGAAACTTTCACAAATGGAGGGGACAATGGGCGCTTTTCAAGTCATTTTTCATGCAACTCAAGTGAAGAGGCGGCCCAGGACTGTGTAATGTGCTTTCTTCTTTATTTTATTCTTCAGTTTTGGTTGTTCCACGCTTGAATGGCTGTTACAATGTTGGAGGTGCTGTGCGTGAGCCAGCATGGCTGAAGTTAAAAAAAAAAAGCTGGAGAGAGCGGGGAGCAAAGTGGGAAAGCTCATTTTTGTTGCTTGTTTTTCGGTTACGGCTTTATTGCTTCCATTATAGCTCAAGTAAAGAATAATAGAATTGATAGCGCTCGCTTCCACACGAAAGCAGTGTCATCTCAGTTTGTATAAACGATGATTTCAGGTGCAAATACGGGCTCTGTAGCCGCACACAAACTCCTGCTGCTTCTGAAAACGCACACTCTGTCAAGACACACATTTGGAGAGACAATTCGTGCCCAGTCATCCAGAAATCACAAGGACGCCTGTCGCATTATTTGTCCTGGTAGTTTGTCTTTGTTTGCGGACCAGCTCGTGATGCCCTTGGATAGTGATGGCTCTTGTGTTTCTGTTTGTGTGTCTCTGTCTCCGACTCACACAGCAACACTTGGAGCCGTGGAAACTCTACGCAACGGTCGGGGTGCTGCTGGCTATCGACTTCCTGTCACTCATGATCTGGCAGATTGTGGATCCTCTGCACATTACTAAGGAGGTAGAGTACTAGAGACAGATGAGATCATTTGTGTGTCACCGCCGTTTGCACAGACTGTGCAGCCACAGCCATCAGTCAGAAACGCAGTAATGAGACGCTCGGTCGCGACTGAAGAATTGTTCTTTCATTTGGATTCATCTTGACTCAAAGAGCACAGTTTGAACCAGGGATAAATATCATGTTTAAGCGCAGATGAGCAGTAGCACTGGAACACTGATATTTAGGACTTTTATATATTTATCCTGGGAGGAGACGCAAATCCTTTGGGAGTTACACCAGGGAGGGCATCCGGTGTAAAAACCTGTCAAATCAAACCGGCTCAGCTACCTGCTGAATAAGGGAGCAGCCAAATGTAGCCGTTATATGTTGATCTGTGCTTGATGTCTGTTAAAAGCACAGGTTACCCTGCGGCATCTCTATTGTGAGCAAGTTTATCCCTGCCTCTCTGTAGGATCGTATGTTTTAACCACCTTTATTCAAGAAGGACTAAAAACTTGGACCCATTTTATTCTTCATACTCTAAATGATGAGCAGCATACCGTTTTTCTGTTTTGCATACACTTACTACAAAGTAAAGTATTGCTGCCGTTGCTGTGGTCTTGTACTACGTTCACATTATGAACAATAACTTTAGAAAATGGCCACGCGGGCCGGTGCGATTGATGCTAAGCCGCTGTTCAAGTGTTGTAAGAATCATAACTGTGCGCTTGTGATTGGGTCACCCATCATGCTTTGTTTCTTCATACCAACGGCTTCCATTAAATCGTAATAGTACTTTAAACACACCATTAGTATATTTTAAAAAATGGTTCTGTCTGTTTGAATCTTCAGGCTTGCTCATTTTCAGCTCTTACAGTTTAGGAAAAAAAATCATTTTTTCCCTGTAGTGAAGGGATATGGAGTATTTTTTCACTACAGAGTATACAGAGAAATAGATGTGGTGCCTGTAACATCATACAGTAGTTATTTTGAATCTTTGACACGAGCGTTATGACTCTGACATAGAAACACTGCACTCTCACAAAGCAGCTTTCTCTAAAGCAACCAAAGTTTGTATTTATTTGACTCTTAATGAATTTACAATTTTTTATGAAACAAAACTTGACCATAAGCTCAGCAGGAAAGTTTTTATTAATGAATCAACAAACGTAAATGTAACCAACATGGCAGAAAGGTCGTATTTCCACAAATTTCTGCACACGCTGACTTCTTATCGAAACCACGGGAGGCTCCCCCTGCTGGTCATTTGTAAGACTGCGGGGTAACCGAATACCCATCTTTACTTTTTTAACCGTTTCAATCTACCTTTTAAACTTCTTTTTAATTATTTTCAATAATAACACAGACAATAATTTCCAGAGAAGAAAAACCTCCCATTAAGGTGCTCTGTGTTACCTGCTGAGCACTACACAGCAGTCAGTCAGTCTGTGTTGAAGTTAGCAGCTGAAAACTGAGGGATATTCCTTAAAATATGTAGCTGACCAAAGTTAAAGTTCAACATAGAGAGGGAACACTGGAAAACCTGCAGCATAAAGAGATGGCTACATATTCCTTTGCTGCTTTTTATCCCATTAGTGTCCAAATTCAGTTAATGCTTCTATGTTTTGTGTTTTTTGATATCATAATGAGCCATTTTGATGTGTCACAGTGGGGAAAAATGAAACATTGCTGAACTCACTTTGAGCTCAGAAGACATTGATAATGGATGATGTGATACTTGCTTATCCACACCAGCTTGAAGAGATATTAGTTGAAGGACAGTTTGGCTGTTTGCTTTGATTTGAAATCTATTAAAATTAAAGTCCAATAACTGGCAATTTAAAAAAAAATCTATATTCAAGTTTTACTTTATTTCCAAACTGAATAGTGGCATAACAAGCTTTCTGGTAACCAATTGAATTTCTTTTAGGTCTCTTTTTATTCTCTACTGACCTCTGAGAGAAATATCTGGCTCTTTGCCTGCTAAATGAGCTACTATATTCACTAGCTAGTTACTAACTGTGCACAGTGGGCTTTTGCAGCTTTCTTGCTAAAAACGGCTGCCTGCTGCAGCTGAAAACAATGCTTTGAGAGCTGCGGCGAGTAAAAACACTGGGGCAAAATACGCTGTAAAACAGAGAAACTGCAGTGTGTGTTTGTCACTGTGAGTCACCCCTTTCATAAAACGAAAACGCACGCAGGTAAATCACTGCTAACATGAAAATTCTGATTTGAAACCACTGCAATGATGGGAAAATTGCAAGTGCTCTCCTCTGCTTCTTTTTACCACTTCACACTTTCTACTCCGCGAAATGATCTGCATTTCAAGAGGAAGAGATCATTTGGAAGATAAGACCAAAATTTATTGCGGAAACGTGAGCATGCAAATTAAAGTTATTTTGGTTAGACTCCAATGAGATGAAACATCACAGAGCAGAGCCACAGATGAAGGGAGGAGATTGGAGTGGATGAGAGCAGGGATGTTGAAACTGAGTAAGAGATGATTTTGTCTGTGTAGGAAAAAACGGAAGTGACCAAGACGAGCCGGAGCAGCAGGAATAGCTCGCATCCAGACAAACAGAGACAGAACGTTCTGTCTAAAACCTGCGCAAAGCCCTAAACTCTCATGTTAGTCCTCATTTGTGTCCTCACCACAGGGAACCTTTGACACGAGTTACAGTGGGTTTTTGTAGTGTTGCCATAGAGTGCATATACAAATGGACAGCTCACCAGCTCTCATCCCAAAGTACAAAAGTAAAGCCAAAATATAACTGAAATAGTTACCATCATTTTGCATTGGAGATGCCCAAAAGTCAGCACAGTAGCCCAACCGGCTTCTGGAATGTCCTTCGTTGTCAAAGAACTAGCTTCATGCTAACTGTTTTCTAGACAAATGTTATTAGCTTCAAGCTGTTTGTCTTCTGCACCTACATGCATAATAAAACATTGTCCTTGATACCTTGTCTCCACCCACGGTTACAGCTGTGCAAACTCTGGTTGCAAATTAAGTCATTAGTGCAAGGTGGCAGCGTCCTTCTCTCCACATTTTGCCTTTTGTTCTTATTGCCATTGTTTGTGGGTGTTGCACCAAGCAGCAGCTTCTGTAGCCAAAAAGCAAAGCCAAGACAGTGATGCCAAAAATGGGAAAGCAGTCCCTCAAAGTGTCGCTTGAGACTAGCTCCAAGCAGCACGCAAAATGAGCCCAGTAGATTCTTATTATTAAATATTACTAAGACATGCGGACATATGATGGACATTTTGAGTGATAGGAGATGCTACTAGCCGGTGTCTTCAACTCAGCTAATAATAGAGTCACAGACATGTTTTTAGTGTTGGCGCCATTTGAATATTTTTTTTATTTTAATGGCATCCAGCATGGTCCTCCTGGCTGCTCTGATAAACATGGCAAAGGGGAAAGCACCAACTGTGAGGCATTAAAATGCAGAGTTCACAAATCAGTGATCATGATCTCTAAATTCATCTTTCATATGCAGTCCGTGTCTTGCAGATTAGGAATGGTGTTTGTGCTGAGACAGGGTGGTGACCCACACAGCAAAAGCAAACTGACTTTATCTCTTTAGCCTCATTTAGTAGAAAATGAATGTCAGTGTTCAGGAATCGAGACACAGATGTTATTATTGTGTCTTCGGACAGTCTTCCATTTAAATTTTATGTCCTGAATACAGTCCAAATCGGATTAAGATGAGAACACCAGGATACTCAAATGCACGCAAACATACTCATTAAGCACTTTCGTCCTCAGTCGGGAGCAAGCGATTTACAAACCTGCACCACAGTGGATGTAATTACAGTCAAATCTTACATTTGATGGACTTTTAAAATGCTCATATTTCATATTTATTGGATGTCTGATATCCTTTTAATTCAGTGATCTATATCTGCCTGTCGGGAAGGCCCTATTTACCCGAGGGGATCGGTCGCTGAGGCTTATACTTACTGTGCAATTTTGCCCATGCTACTGTTTCATAGTTTCTTATTATCTCCCCCTCTCTGTCTTCTCGCTCCCTTTCCCTTTCTCACTCTCATCCTTCCATTCCTCTTTCCTTTTCCATTGTCTGCCATGTGAGTAGAAGTTCACTAAGGAGGCTCCTAAAGAAGATTTGGATGTCCTGATTCAGCCCCTGCTGGAGCACTGCAGCTCAAAGAAGATGAACACGTGGCTCGGTATCTGTCCTCTCTTAACAATCTGTCTCCCTATTCTGCTTCACCCTCCTCTGGTTTTGAGTATCTTTGTGACACGCGGACATATGCGCACACACGTCACTGCCGCTCACTCAGAATTTAACAGGTCTCATATCACAGCCCTCGTATCCCTCAGCCCCCGCCGCCCCTTACATTTGAGTCCTCTTTTCTCTCCTGCTTTACTCCCTCTTTGCTTTTTGTCGGCCCACGCAGTCCCTCTCTCTGTCTGTCTTGCTGCTATCTTTCTTAGTGTGGCAGCTCTTATGAAAGTATAATGGTGCTGAAATTCAAATAATGTGGGTCACAAACTGGGCCATTGCCCCATAGCATTTCCCTTCTCTGGGAAGAAAAGATGGTGCTTTAATATCAGGCGGTGTAAAGAAACAATGGACAGTCTGAATAAGTGTTGAATTTTACTCAGTCACCGATTCTCTTTTCTCTCCAACTCTGACTGGATTTCTTTGTATCCAGCATATTTTTCTCTTCAGTATCTATTGTATCAACATTTTTGACTTTACACCTGTGCAGTGTTTTTACTCCTCAAAGGCCACATTGAATTTATCACCAGCACTTGGTGTTAAGTCAGCATGAGCCCAAAATTTGTAAAACATCCATAAATATCTCAGTTATTTTGCATTAAATATACATAAAATGTATTTGAGACACAAACTAAAATAAGACCGGGGGACTAAAGGCCTTTATCGATGTGTAGCTGGTGATTGATTGACTTCTGCAAGTCTCTTCATATGTTGACATCCCCAGAGAGTCCAAAGCTGTCTCACTCTCACACTGTTGTCACATTTTAACACACACTAGTGTCACTTTCCACCATAAACCGTACTGTGTCATGATACAATTTTACCAGGTGAGAAAGCCCAACTAATCGTTTAAAGTCCTCATAAGAAAATCCATGACTTTCATACAGCAGTATGAAGTTTAAGGCTTGTCTGGGACTTTTTTGTTTCATGTTTTTATGTCTCAGTCACACAGGTCTAGAGACCAGGAGGCAGGAAAACAAAAGACACACAGTTTATTCGCCCAGCCTTCATGATTATACCAAATTCCATTAAATTCATCCAAATCGGAGTAGAATTATTCAGTCATTCAAAATGTGATTGACCAAGAAGAGGCTACCCTTGTACCTCAAGCTAGCTTGCATAGCTAAAAAAGAAAGATCTTACTCTGGCAGAAAAGGTCAAAAACGGCTCTTGTAGCCCCCACAATGCAACACAACCTTGCTTGCAAAAGCTAAATCTGAGATATCAGGGTCGCAGATTTGCCTCCAGAGGCATTACGCAGCTGTTTTTACAGGATATGTGATGCTTCCTGTTACTAGTAAATTTGCTGTAACATATACAATTCATGGAGAGCTGACTTTAAAATTAATGGAAGCAGTCATGTCACTATGACAGTATCCTGCAGTGGTATCTAATGGCATACAAGCAAAAGCAAAAACATCCAGGGAAACCAAATCCACAACTACAACTTATCACGTCAGCAGTAAAGACCTAAAGGGTGTGCCAAGCTCAGGGACTGTGATGGACACTGATCGATCTTACCCGGCGGGTGGATCTTTGTCTCCAAAATAGACGGACCAAATTTCAGACATTATTTGGATAAACTGGCCAAATATTCAGGATTTAAGTGGCTACTCTCTCGCCTGAAACAATATTAAAATTTAATGACATAATAGCAATCCAAGGACAAAAATTACAACAGCCTCAAGGCCTTCTGTCTCTTATGTTGCTGCTGATCTGAATGAAGCCCATCAACAACCCCCCAGTTTCTCCTCCCACCTCAGCATCCTGGAGACGTTCCACAGCATGTGCTCTTTTTTTCTCTACCTGTCACATTTCAGCATCTCCTTAGCATCCACTTTGAGAAATATATACAAAATAGTCTTTGTGGCTTCAAAAGCCAAAACTCTTTACTGACAGTTTTCTTGGCCTAAAAAAACCTAAAAAACACCTTTACACACGTGTGTTAATGTTAGGTGGACAAATTTGTATTGCATTAATCATGAAAACTCCAAATGATTTTGTTTTAAACATTTTATTCATTAGTTTTCATTTGGTTCATATTTTAATAGCTTTCATTATTTTCTCCGTAGTTACTACCGGGTAAAGGTTATTCTTTACGTTTGTGCCTACAGCACTGGCAAAGGGACAAAACGTGTTGGTTTATGGTAACGGCCTGTAAAAAGTGATTCATTTCAGACTTTCAATAAATGAATAAATAAAAGACATAAATAGGTAAACAACACAAAATGAAAATAAACAAGAAGAACAGCAGCTGCAAACTGCAAACTTAAGAATCGCCTAATAATAAAGAATCCATTTCCAAACACCATCTGAGTCTGAAAAGCAGCAAATGACACAGGGAAACTTCCATTTTTCCACCAGTTTCACTTGATAACAGACTATCTCGCTGTGTCGCTTACACAATTTCAGGGCATTTTGATGTGAAATTGGTCTTTTGGAAATGAGGAGTTTTGCTTCCAATATCTCAGAATTTAGAGGGAACACAGTGTATATGTGACACTTTACAGGGCTATAACTATAATTCAGCATCAGACTGTCCTGACAGCGTGTGCGTGACACTTTCAGGTAGCCTGCTATTGTTCCAAAGTATTTCATTTATGGAGAAGGGACGTGTCCCGAGCAGGGCCGCAATTCCCAGGGGGGTTAGGGGGGTTATGACACCCCAATAATCAGACCCAACCAATATGGTCCCGAGCTGTCATGTTTCACATGTTTGCAGATAGTCTGTGATTTTGTTCATAATATGAATGTGTTCATCTGTTTAGGTTTCTGCAGTCATGTAGTCGTTTATTTATTGAGTGCGTGACCGAACGAACACGCGTGAGATTATGTTCACCAGGAGAATCTTACACTCGAACCGAAATGAAGATTGACTCTCAGAAGCTAACGACCAAACTTATAGCCCCCATGACATCCCAGCAGTCCTACTGTTGGCCCTAACTGTCCCTCATAGTGTTGCATTTATTTAATGCACATGCACATATCCCAGAGTGCAGGGAGACACTAAAGAGTCATTTGGTGATGGCTAGTATTTTAAGCTGTATAGCAACACCATCACACCCTGATTAACACCTAAAGCCTGCATTATGTTCTCTGTAATGATAATACTTTTTTTTTATCTCTAACTGCTGCTCCTCTGCTGGCTTCCGGAAGCTAGCCAATGAGTAGCAATTGGGCTTTTAGGGAGGAGCTAAAACTGCTTGTTACAGCTCTTCAGCTGAAGAGCTGCATAGCAGGCAGTATGAATATAAATAATTTTTGGGTGTGTGTGATTCAGGAAAAACTGCTGAGTCTTAACATAAAAATGGAAATCAGCATCATATTTAATATTAATATTTTATATATTATATAAATATTTGCACTTTAAACAGCTGCCTGCGTTGCATAACTCATCTGTACTCACCTCCATCGCCTCACCGTTCTCTCTCTTCCTCTCTTTTCCTTTAGGTGTGGTTTACGGCTACAAGGGTCTGCTGCTGCTGCTGGGCATTTTTCTGGCATATGAGACCAAGTCTGTCTCCACAGAAAAAATCAATGACCATCGGGCCGTGGGGATGGCTATTTACAACGTTGCTGTGAGTCCGTAAAGAAACAGCTCCATCATGCCTAAGCCCATTTCTGGGTGCGGCGGTTTAAATTTTTACAGCTGTCTTGCTTTTGTAGGATGTGGAATAACAAAGTGGCAATAAGTATGGTTTTTATTACTCCGTAGCACAAAATGCCCGCAGTATATCAGCGGGGAGTTAATCAATGCCAGTGGTCCATGATTACTTTGGAGCTGAGATTTTTTTTGCCTTCCAGAAGTTACTTTCCTGCTTGTTCAGCCAGGTAGCTTGGCCAGCTCTCGAGAGGCAATACGTTACAGGTTCTGGTCGTTTATAAAAGTTAATGTCACAGGTAATTTAAAGGAACTCGGCATAACTTGTGATCAGCGATACGTACATCCCTTAAGTAAACTGCAGGCATCACTCTTTAGCATGCAGGATGTGCTTGTACTGTGGCGTGAAAGCTAATATTATTCAAAGCAGTGACAGCATACACAAGATCACAATTATATTATGCTAGCTTCTGCAAAAAAACAAGTGAGAAGGGGCCGCTGACTTACAAGGAGGCAGGGGAGGTAGACGGGCTTGTTCCAGACAGAGGAAGAACCGAGGGATGACATAAGATAAATAAGGATTATTATGAATGGTCCTGGAATAAGAATACGGCACTGAAAATGAGCACGATTGGTCCATATTAGGCTTGTATTAGTTGCCCATACATGACTACAATGCTTTGTGTGCACCTACAGTTGGGAGTAAATCTTTAATTCAAATTTTAGAGTCAATTTAGATCCAACAAGGAAGTTAATATTCATGTTGATCTGGGATTTATATATATGTGTATATATGTATGTTTTTCTCTTAAATTCAGAGCCCCTATTGCATTTCTATCCAAATCATTCTGCTGCCAGCTCCAGGTGCTGCCTCCTCGTACCTGCGCTGCTATGATACTCTTATTTCAAGTCTTATTTGCAAAGTGCAAACTCAAAGACATTTCACGGTGAAGTAAATGTTAAATGAAATCAAAAGAATACAAAGCAGACTGTTACTGCGCAGCACTCAGATGCAAGCCAACCTTATCAGAGTGCTGCAGTTCAGCTTTAGTGCTGGGCATGTACTGCGTGTTGCACAGTGCGGGTAATGCAAAGTGTATCTCTGAGACCACATGCACAGTATGGAGTTATCCCGTCCCATGGCAGCAATAGGTTTAAAAATGCACCCATTTGGGCACTAAAGAATGGCAGTAAAAGCAGCCGTCAGTCATAAACATTTTTCAGCGGCTGTTAATAGCAAGTGAATCATCTTAAACGCAGGCACCTAGGATGCACTTCACACTGGAATAGCAGCCATTATGTTCACCGTAGCCACTTTAGACAAATTCTTGCTGCCATTTCCTGACACTCTTGACACAGACTAACTTTGGAATTGATGTAAAATGTCTGCAGGAGAAAAATAAAAGTTGTTTCTGTTGCTTTAACTGCCAGCAGAGGTTTTTTTTTCCTGTTTTGATCAAGAGAAGGCAAACGTTTTTTTTAGGTTGCTGTTTTTAACTGACATTTTCCTGCACTGGCCCGAATCCCCATTAATATATGAATAAGAAAGCTCCCTAATGAGCAGCTGCACATTTATCATCTTATACTCTGTGGATATATAATTAATAAATGGACAGATCTCGCCTCATTTATCGAGGAGAAGATTTATCATCCATCCATCATTTATGGTTGTTTATGATGTCATTAAATGCAGCTTTGCGTGACCATTTCGTCCCATGGCTCCACAATGTGAGTCACGTCTAATGTTGCTATTTTATCTTATAATATTCACATTTCAGTTTTATGACGATGTCAATAGTTAATGGCGTCTGCGAGGGGACCTCCTTCCTCTTTGCTAAGTTGTGAGCTCCAGGCCCTGATGAGATGACAATGTGGAGATTGTCAGCACGCTGTTGCCACTTCAGTCATGACTTTTTAATGCTGTTTTCACATGGGGGCCCTCCCCGGAATGATAAACAGATGCCTGATGCTTTTACGGATGTGATTTTCCTCCCCTCTCATCCTGTCGCTCTCCAACTCTGCTTTATTCTCCACCTCCTGTCCTCCAACCCTACCTCCCTTCTTTCTTTTTACATTTAATCTCACTCTCCCCTTTGTTCTTACTTCTTTCTCTCCCTCTGTCTTCCTGCAGGTGTTGTGCCTGATCACAGCTCCGGTGACTATGATCCTGTCTTCACAGCAGGACGCCTCCTTTGCCTTTGCTTCTCTAGCTATCGTCTTCTCTGCCTACATCACACTGGTGGTGCTCTTTGTACCCAAGGTGCTCCTGCTCATGATTGACACCTTTTAAGATCCGCTGGCATTCATAGTGAAGTGAAACTGAAGGTCAAACGTTTCAAATTCAGCATCTTTAGGAATGAGCTGCAGCTTGTAGCGCACGACAGTCGCGATCACATTATTCACTCTGACAGCTTTTTTGTTTCCCAACTGCATAAACACGCTTTGACGTTTGAGTGTAGCGCAACATTGGACCGGCTCAAATCATATCTGTCTTACCATTTCGACATTAAGGTAATAATCTGCGAAATTTCTTGCTGGGAGCTTTTACATTTGTAGCTGTCGTAAACATTTGGAGTAGGAAAAAAAATCTTCCGCAACAAACAAAGTGAGACGTTTTACACGTCCGGCAGTGCCGTGGGTTTTTTGGGTTGTTATGAACAGAAGAAGAGCCGCGCGGTGCACATGCTGCAGACAGAAGGAAGAGTGCTGCTTACAGAAATTCAAATTTCATTAACAGGAAATCACAATATCGTCTCCACCCTTTGATTATCAGGATATTTGTGGGAGCTCACTGCTGTGCAGAGACGGCGCAGCAGCGAGTGCTGAACTTGTCACTAAAGTAAAATAAAAGTCTTCAGTGATGAATAATATTTTTAAGCCTTTAGAGAAATGTGAGTGATTTGGCTGAGAGGGCTGCAAATATTAAAGATGTTTTATTACGGGCTCTGAATAGATGCATTATTCATTGGGCGCAGGGTAGCCGGTCTCAGTCCTGATTTTCTTCTTTATTGAATTCCTGTCTCTGCGACGGTCCAGATGCGGCGTCTCATCACCCGCGGCGAGTGGCAGTCGGAGCAGCAGGACACCCTGAAGACTGGCTCGTCCACCAACAACAACGACGAGGAAAAGTCCAGGCAGCTGGAGAGGGAGAACAGGGAGCTGCAAAAGATCATCCAGGAGGTGAGGACGCATTAAACAGATGCACATATCATTATTATTAAATACAGATTCCAGTTTAACCTGGAGTTCACCCGTGAAGGCGATAGATATACTACACACTCGTAAAAAAATCATTGTACAGATATCTTATGTAATTCATTTATTATGTATGTTTGTGTGGCATGCTGAGCACTGAGAGTGCTGCATGTGTGAACATAGATATGCTGCAAACGTGATGACCTCATTGCCTAATATGTGCATAGAAATGCTCTTAACCTGCACGGTAATTAGATGCATGTGGAAAATTCCTTTTAAGTGTATTTGTGCGTTAGTGTGTCGGAATCATTATAAATCAATAAACGCATGTTCGCTCACTAATCATAGACAATAGAAATGATGGATATAAACACTGTGATGGTGCCGTTTCACTCCAACGTTAGTAAATGAAATCCTGCTATGAAGCATTTTCACCATCGCAGTCTGCACACTCATTGGCTGACAGCTCATTAGCCAATGAGCTTACCTCGGATAATCTTTGTTTTTAATTATATTAATGACTAAGGTAACTTAGCATGTTATTGAGTATAAAACTAGTGCCTAAGACCCTTAAAGGCTAGACGCTCTCTCTAATTGGAAAACTTGGCACTTTTTGTTGGGTTCACTTTTCAGACCTGGAAGCTCTGTCCATCATTAAAACGCTCTTTGTCCTGCCGCCATTCTCTTTGTATGGAAGCACATTTACCTCGGGGTTGAACAGCAAAGAGTGAAGCTGTTTTCTTGGAGAAGCCTGTCGGCTAAAGCAAAACAATCTGAGGATTTTCAGCCAGAGAAACTGAAAAATAAAGAAAAACAAAAACAGTGTAAGAGGCCAAAAAAAGCAGAGTTTTGATAATGGTTCAAGTTAAAGGGGGAAAACTCTGAAGCTCCGTCTGCATTGACTGAGGAGGTGAGTGTTGCGTTCCCAGAGACACAGACTGTGGCTCATCTGATCTTTCAGCCTAAAACTCAATTATTAGAAACCACAGCTGCCACAGAGCGAGTGAGGACATCCAGCAAAGACTGAAGTTTCTTTCGTTTTTTTAATGGCTGTGATTTTAAACCCTAATGAGAACAAATAAAGTAACATGAAACCTTAAAACTACAGTAATAACAGTATTATGTAACTTTTAGTGAAAGGTTGTCTGTCACTTTATGTTTTAAAAGTAATCAAAAACCTGCATCTCTTCACTTGTTAAATTCATGTTTGATTTAATTCTTTATTGTTATTTTTATTTCAGTTTCGAAAACTTTAATTATGGTGACAAAATTATTATTGTTGTTGCTTAATTTAAAGATATGTTTTTACTTTTTCTTGCACAGCTGGTCTTTGGTCGTTCTCTAAATGTGATCATGCTGCACAGAGTGAACCATTTACTGTCCCAGTGAGGATGTGTTAGCTTATGTGAAATACCTTTTCAGGAATCGGAGCATTTTCCTGGTAGTTCTGACAATTTCAGAAACAAAGATGTGAATGAAAAAGAAGAAACAACTAGTTAAACATTATAATAATGTTATTGTTGCTGTGGTGATTTTCCTGCTGTTTCCCTCAACCTTTTTTGGGATAATCAAACATTCCTGTATGCTGGGAAAGTCCTGCCAATGGAGACGGGAGTTTCAGTTATTGTGTTTGTTTTGCTGTCATCACTGTTAATAACAGCGAAGTAACCGTTTTGTTTTCATGTTATTTCTGGCTCATCTTTCTTTATAAGTAACAATTCATTTCATTATGGTCTGTATTTATATAGCGCTTTACTAGTCCCCAAGGACCCCAAAGCACTTTACACAACCAGTCATCCACCCATTCACACACACATTCACACACTGGTGATGGCAGCTACATTGTAGCCACAGCCACAGCCTGGGGCGCACTGACAGAGGCGAGGCTGCCGGACCTCTGCTGATTACTGTAGTGACCGTGTATTCCAGCTTTCTATATTTAACATTATTAGATCTGTGGTGGCTCACTGGGTTGTGTTATGTGGCGTTCTGCCATCTCCTTGTAGATATTTAGGGAAGTTTCAGAGAATATTTTAGAGGAAGTAGCACAAGTTCCCTGCAGGTTTCTATGAATTATATAAAACACTTGTGTTTAAGGTTAAATGTGCTTTTTTAACCTGTAAGGGGAAATTTCTACGTTAAAGCAGCAACAATTGTTTAAAAAAGTGCCTGAGTGTGACATTTTACTAACAGCACTAATAATAAAAAAATATGAGCAGTGATATAAACAGCATAAAAAGTCTAATTTTAAATCCTGGAATGATCAGAAGGCTAATTTGCTATGTTCTTCGGAGATCGCCGTCCAGGGACACTTGCTGGGTGAGCTAATCAACATGCATATTCATCCACACATCCTGGTTTTGTTTACTTCAGAGTCATAATAGCCCTGAACCTGTAATAACATCTTCTGATGTCTTGTTTTGTCACCCAAACGGTCCCAAAGATATTTCACTCACATAAATCACACAAGCTGAGGAGCTGAAACCCACAAATGTATTTCACTAGGAACATTTCTGAAGCAGTTAATCAGATATCAGAGTTGCTTTTTCACTGTGATTTATTTTTAATCAGTTTAATTATTATTTTTAAAATGTACTTATTAACCTATAGAGACAGAGTGCAGTTACGTCCCGTCCACACAGGAGGGAAAAAAATGAATGTCTCTCTCTGACTTTGTTGTGCGAAGGTGACTCCTTGTCAGATCCATCTGCAAGCAAAAAATGGAAAATGACTAAAAGCTGCTGCGTGGTGGAATCCACCGCCAGCAGAATGAGGGACCCGGAAATGGGATTTTTTTATGAACTTTGTAATTGGAAAAAGTTTCAGGAGCACAAAGTGAGACGTCGGCAGAAAGAAGGGGGTTGTTTATAATCCTGACACTCAGGATGTGAGGGGTTTATCAAAAAGTAATGTGAATAAATTACTGATTTACTTCCTGAAGAAAGTAATTTGTTACTCTTCTTGTTACATTACTTTTGAATTTCTCTGCATCATTGCCCAACTTACATTTTCACATAATTATTAGTTAACAGTATAAAATTGCAGCCACTGACACTACAAAAACCCTCTGACAGTGCAGTTTTCATTGGACATCAACTCATAGTTACTTTTCTGAACACCAGATAGATTTTAAATCAGATTCTCCTGCACGTTATGGAAAAACACTCCTGTCCCTGCAGCGAAATCACATCATCACGCCAACCCTGGCTAATTCAATGTTGGCTAATTTAAACTGACAGTGTAAAAATGATGTGTTTACTTTAATGCTTTCTGCCACAGAACAGCGACTTCAATGATCCTGAAACAAATGGATCAGCATTAGCTGACTAACATTCTTCATTGCTTTCACCGTCAGGTGCAGCAGGTCATTGTCTCAAAGTCAAAAAGTTTTATTTTATTATTTTATTTTCACATTTTGTTCTACATCATAAATACTTTAATAAATACCCTGCTTATGAATTTTGAAACCTTTGTGCATCTCAGAGAAAGTGTTCAGTAATAATCAACTAAATAAGAATACAGAAGTTATCTGGGAAATTCTGCATCATCATAAATGTCAAGTTATGTGACCTGGTGCAAGACCTACTGATCGCATATACACTTCAACAAACTGACATCAATCATCCCACTAAGCAAAACGATTCTCACACAGCTTATTTTCTGTAGTAAGCCAAAGCCCACATGGAAAAATCAAAGGAACCCAGGCAGTTTTAACTTCATGGCTGGCCACCAGAAAAGTGTTTGTGCTTTTCTTCTTCTGAGAGTTGATATAAAAATCTGTGACATGCTTGTGCTGCAGTTATACAGAGTGTCAGTCACGGGCTGATGCTTCGGCCCCCGGGGCTGTGTGCCGATCACATGACAAATATCTGCTCTAGATCATCGTAGGAAAGCTTCAGCTTGTAACTGCAGACTCTGGTTGTGTTTTCAGAAAGAAGAGAGGGTTTCGGCGCTCCGCAATCAGCTGGCTGAACGACAGGCTCTACGTAACCGCCGCCGACCCTCCACGGGCCAGAATCAGAACCACAATGCCCCGCCTCCTTCTTCTCAGCCAGATCCCAAGTCCCTGCTCCCTCCACCCGGCTATCCCAACCCAACCACGGACAATCATTCCCTCCCACCTTCCTTCTCCAACTCCTCCAACCTCTACCCAGCAGACAGCAAGATGAGCCGCAACCACTGTCACAACAGCCAGATCCCGCTGCTGTATAAATAGGTGAAACACGGGAGGGTTCGGGTGGGGGAGGCGCACACGAGGGACACAGAACAGCACGAGACACTGTGAGTTTCACTTGTTTGGGCAACGAGCACAGCGGAGTAGTGACACTGTTTTAAAACACGGCGTGGAAGCTGAAATGAGTACACGGGAGTGCTTTATACTCGGGGAGAGTCACACAGGTAACACCCATCCTCTAAGTTTTGATCTCACTGTGTTCAACCCAGAAACACGGCGCACGCGGTGGCTCGACGTGGCGACAAGCACAGCAGCACACGACGTCTTTTTCAAAGATCAAGTGAACAATAGTCTCTTAATCATTCCGCTCCCTCATTCGTTATCTGGTTTCGTTGTGGAGACGCAGTGTCGAGGATCTTCAAAGGATGTGTTTGTGTCTTTGCTATATCGTCTCCACATTTTGTCTCTCGAGTTCATTAACTAGACAGACATGCGGTAGTGATTTATATTGGTCTGTAATATTTGATTGTTTTGTCATAGAGTTGTTGTTCTATTCTCTGTTAAGCTTTCAGGAGAGTTGTGAAAACTGAAATTTGCAAAGGGACAAAGCAATGTACAGTTTTGACTTTTTTCCCCTCTAATGTTTCCTCTAAAAGCAGCCGAGAAGCTCAGAAGCGAAAAATGTGCATTATTAAACAGCCATAATTTAAAACGGCCAGGGAGCTAAGCATGCATGGATGTCTGTTGTCAGGACTGTGTGTTCAAGTACAAAACTGCATTTTAATAAGCTAGTTCCTTATTAGACCCATGTTGAAGAAGACAATGATCAAAGTTACTGATGAATGAGGACAGTTTTGATAGCTTTGGGGTTTGAAATCATATTTTACAATGTATTTTTTGAAGTTTGTGTTTATTTAGCAGTACAGTAGGAGACATCAAGTCAAGTCACATCAAGCCTGCATCTAACGTATCTTGCAGATATTGTCCTTCGGGGTCGTCCTCTTGTGCACTTCTGGATCTTATCCAGCACTGCTGCTGACCCTACTTTCAAATCACCATTTGGGGCCCTTAGCTTCAGTGGGGCCAAACACCAGTTATCAGTGGAAATGCACTCAGTGTGCAGTTCTGGCAGTCCAGGAGGTCAGGAGTGCAACCAGGATGTTCATGAGGAGTGAAATTTTCCGAACGTTTAAAAGGTTAAACGCAGTAAATCTTTCGTTCTGTCATCGTTTAAGCACATAAAGGATTAAAGACCGTGACATCGCCTCCTGAGGGTCAGTTGTTTTTCTTGGCATTTCAAGGGTTAAACACTGTAAATTTGTCACTCAGCCAGATTTAGCTCCTTGGAAATCCATCGTCAGCCCCAAAATAAATGGTGAAGCATTAGTGTTCTGATACATGGAAGCGCATATATGAGGTTGAATGGTCCTTGGACAGAGAATGGAAGTGTTCCAGATGTGCACAAGGAGACTGCATTGAATGGGATATCAGACAGTTTGATTTTTATCTGTGGAGTCCTGGAAACATTTGATATGAGTAATCACCATCACTTACCATGATGACCAAGGCCCAGCTGTCTATTCTGGCTGCCTAATTTCACGGGGTACAGTTATCCGTCAAACACATTCATATACAGTCTACAAAACTGGAGCCATCCAAATTCCAACATACTTAATAGAAGCACAGTCTGTACTTTCTGCCTTTTGTAAATCTAAACCACTTTATGTTTGGACAGCAGTGAAACGTTGAGGGCTTCTGTGATGGCTATTACTGTAGATATGCAGAGAAAGCACAATTTTTTTATACCTGTAAATCTGTTACCCGTCATACTTGTAAACTTCGTTTCTTGTGTCGTATGTATACGTACATGAATTTTTTTCCTTTTTCCCACAGACGATTGGGAATGAAGCTAATTTATTTTCTTCATCTTTTGCCTTCAGCTAAGTGGTGAAAGCATCCATGAAGGACTTAAAGTAATGTGACATAGTGTATTTATTCGGCAGTTAATGCGGATGTACTATTTCATTCATGAGCTATTTCCAGATTTTATAAAGCAATGACGCCTGAATGACGCTGTTAGCAGGTAACACAACACTTTGTCAAATATTTTTAAATATCTGTAAATCACAGTGTGCACTTTAAACCGAACAAACGATTCCGCTCTGTGTCGCTGTTACTCGGTTTAGCTCAGGGTTTGGGGGAGGACCGTCAAAGTCAACTTAAATGAATGAAATAGGCCATATTTATTAACTGTGCAGTACCTTGATCACTTGATAGTGTAGTATATGAATGCAGAAATTACTTCAGAAATGTTCTATTATCTTGCACATATATAAGAATATACATGGATTTGGGGATATTTGTATTCACTATATCTAAGATATTAAATGTTAATATATTTCAGAGTATGTGTATGCAGATATATGGGTACCATAAATAAAATATTTGTTTTTTCACTGGGTATTTCTCGTGTTTTAATTGATACGTTTTAAAATATGTGGACATATCATATGGATTGTTGTGCATATTCCAAAGGCACAGCACATGTTTGCTCATGTTTGCACTATCCACTAGATGTCACCAGTTATTTGTTGTTTTTCTGATTTGCTCGGGCTGTTTTGACCAATTCATCTACGTCCAAGTGAAACTTGATATTTGTCTGTAGGTCAGCTCTGCAGGACTCAAAAAACCAAATAAACCCAGAAGAAAAGCTCATTAAACAAAAGCTAGAAGCAAAATTTGACACGATGACCAACTGTAAAGCCCAGTGGGAACCTCATTACCGAGACAATGAGTGGATGTTTGCCTTGCATATGAAACAAAAGTAGACAAATTGCTCCCAAGTGCGTCCGTTATTTGTATGATGTGTGTTTATAGATGATGACAGTCTGACAAACCCAGCTGTGCCACAGTCCCATGATCCCTCATCTCGCACAGCTTCCCGTTCCGTCTTTTTTCAGCTGACTGAAAGCAAGGTATGTGGTAATGCACAGGGAAAGGGTTGGTGTCGAGAACGAGAGAGGCTGTGTGTGGGGGTGGGTGGCTGCCATTGGGGAAAACCCACTCTGAGCTGAGGCTTCTGTGGGCCTCCACCTGACACAGCACTCGGCAAGAGGCAGAAAAAAAGCAGGAAATTCCCCTCCACTTGTGTGATCCAACAAAGGAAGTATTTGCTGGCTGTGGAGGAATTTCATAGCAGCTTTTGCCAACTACTGTGTGTGTGTGTGTGTGTGTGTGTGTGTGTGTGTGTGGGCAGCCGACATAGATGTATATATATGCCG